GCGGCGCGCCCCCTCCCTGGCAGGTGGGTCGCTGCCAGCGTCTGTCTGCAGGTCCTTGCTGCTCTGCCACGAACCACGGCGTCCCCTTCCCGCCTGTCCAGTGAGCTTTTCACACGTGTATTGCTGCTGTCTTGAGGTCCTGTTCCCCCTGAGCCCCATGCTATGGGGCAGGAGAGCAGGCCAAGAATGATGCTCTGAGCAGAGCACTTGCAAGAACTGAAGTGATTTATGCTTTTTATTAAGAAGGTATGTTTTGTTTGGGTGTTGGGTTTTTTTTTTTTTTCCCTTTGAGTGGCTGCTAGCAGGCTTTGGTTCTGGCTGTAGACCCAGAGCAAAGGAATGCATTCTTATATTTAATGGGAAGAGCTGTTTTTGCACACTGGTGGAGATGGAGAAATCCTGTGGAATTCAATGTGAGCAGCTGTTGCAGTTTAGTTTTCTTTCCAGCTATCACCTTGTTTATGGGAGGGGAAAAAAAAAAAACAAACCACCCTGCTTTTCCTCCCAGGCTGCAGATTACTGAGTTTGTTCCTCCAAACCACTTTCCAGGTGTTAGCGATGAGAATAAACCTTCCCTGTGTATACTGGTTCTCTCGTGTCAGCTCTGTTTTGTCTCCCTTCCAGTGATAAGGGCTGAAGCAATCCTCCAGCTGTGGTGGCACACCCGAGAACCACCCAGGGCCTCCCCGGCATGCGGAGAGCTTGCTGGTGGTCAGACCCCATCCTGCAAAGCCTTTCTCCTCCTCTTCCAAACCCTTAGGCCTGCAGAGTGCCTGGCTGCGGTACGTGAGCCATCCGGACACTGAGCTTGTGCCATTTACCCAGCGGCTCTGACTGCTCAGCTGCCTGACCCGTAAAGCTGGTAACGGCCAATGCCATCAGCAATGCTTAACCTGCTGCCTGCGTGCTACGCAAACGCTTTCCGCTGCTGTTGCCATTCAGAGGGTGCTGCCCAGGCTTCTGCCGTGCTTTTGCCAGCTCAGTGATTGCATTACAAAGCCTCGTAATCCTGTTATTTTAGCTGGCAGGTCTGTATTTTTAGGCCACAGCTGTTAATCGTGGGAGTGAGGGGTACAGGGAAATGCAACCTGAGTTCTCCTGACCTTACTCCACAGATTTAGGCCCGATAGCGATGGACTGCTGCAGGGTTAAAGGCTCTCTCCTCTCTCGCGCAGACCTTAAAGCGAACCCGTGCTGCTGTGCTCTCCTCTGCTTCGAGCTACCCCGTAGAAAGCGCTTCAGACTCCTGCCCGCCCTGGTTGCTCCGCGTGCTGCATGTCACCTCAGCAGTGACCCCAGGAACTGCTCTGTGTCCAGGAGGAGCAGGGTCCCGAGCAGCATCAGAGGCCCTGGGAGGAAAAACTGAATGCTGTCCTCTGGCAGAAGAGGACACAGGAATCTTGTGGCTCTACTTGCTTTGATGTACAGAGGAAGCCCCAACAGAGAGGGAGGAGGTAGCCTGGCTTCCCAGGGAGTTCAGTCTAAACTAAATGCGGGAAAACAGAACCTCCCTTCAGTTCAGCCAGCTGTCTGTCCGTCCCTGGGCAGCAACACTACGGCAGATGCAAGCTGACGAGATAAAAAAAACCTCTGCAGCTCACTTCTAAATAACTGCGGGGAGCTTCTGCCAAGAAAGCTGCTGTATCGTTCCGATGAGCGAGTGGAAAGAGCAAGATTTGGGTGGATGCTTTTACAGTAATAGCTTCACTATTTTAAGTAGGCAGAAATAATAAGGCAGAGTCAAGATGTCACCGTATCAAATTTAAAAATTAAATAATCTTTTAATAAGAAACTTATTAGTTTGACAAAAGTAACTTCCATTAGCTAGCAGCATCACAGAGGCATGTCTCAAGGTTTGAGGAAGAACTCGGTTTCAAATTCAGGAACTGTCTAAAATGAAGGCTCTTCCTGAGAACCACAGCTGAGCTTCCCTTTCAGGGCAAGCACCAGACCCAGCTTCTCTGTACCTGGCCCTCCTTCACTGGCACGGACAAGCAAGGTAAGGGGTATGGCGCCGTGACAAAAAAGAAAGGGGAATGTTGCTCAGGTAACATCAACTTAGAAGGGAACTTAAAACAAAATTCCACACTGTGGAAAGCCAGGGACTGAGGTGAGTAGCCCTGGTGCCTGTCCTAGCGGCTACGATCCAGCTCTTCCTTGTGTAGAAAGGCCGCGTACAACCACCACCATGGCGGGAGCTGCGGGTGGACTAGACCCAGTGCTGTTTTCTCTGCAGATTCAGTTTCCAAATGCTTCCTTGAAATATTTAGGCTATCCCAATCTGCTCGGCAGAAGAGCAGCTGAAAACAAAGGCTGACAGCAGTAGCGGAGCCACCTTTCAAAGCTGGTTGAACCCTTGCTGCCCAGGCATGTAACGCATGCATGAGGATGGTATCCCTTGGCAGGAGCAGCCTGCAACCAGCCCTTCCAGAAAGCACTCAACAGACTTGTTTCTAGACTCCAGTTCCTTTCAGCAGTAGCTGCTCCTGTAGCAGCTTGCACCCCCTGCACCTTTCAGGCTCTTAAGAGATGTGCATCCAGGCTCAGTGGTCTTGAGGGCAGTTTTTCCTAGTGTGGCCAGGCTGGTGGCAAATGCTACAGGTCCGTGGTTTCTTGGCAGTGGCTCCTGAGGAGAGGCTGCTCGGTCTCTTGGCTTTATTTCCCAACCCTCTTGCGTATCCACTGCTCCCAAAGTGGTTCAAAGAGACGTCTCCAGAAGGCCCTAGAGAGAAATAACTTGCATTTAGTACCTTGGAAAATAGAAGTAGGTGAGAAACAGGAGATAAGTTCAATGTGGCAGATCAAGGATTTTGCTATCCCAGCCACTCAGATTGTTCCTGAAACCACGCTTGCTTCAGATTTGCCTAAACAGTTAAATGTTACCCATTTGTCTTGCAGCATTAGAGAAATGTGGGAACAGAACAGGGGAAACCGATCTGCCTGGTTACGTGCTCTGGTCTACAATGCCTGGTTGCGTGCTCTGGTCTACAACTGAAGCAGAAACAAGAAAACATGCCAGAGGAAAACTTGGTTTTTAAGTTGTTTTTACCACTTTAGGCCCAAATGTCTGAGGAGGAGGTGGCCAGTGTTGAAGATCTCTCTCAGACCACATCTCAACCTCTGTACTTTCCTTACCATCCCTTTGTGTCAGTGCTCTTTCTTCCACATCCTTATTTTGTGATTTTTTTTTTTTTTTAAAATGGGTACTTGTTTTCAGCATCTTTCCACAGCAGCCATGCTCAGTTTCTCAGCTCTGATCAAAGCTTCAGAAAGACCTGGCCTTTCACTGCATTCCTAAACTAGGGCAGAGGGAGTAGCACAGTTTCCCTGGCGTGACAGAATGGGGTTTAAGATCTCCAAAAGTGAGAGATCTCCACTGCTTCAACTCTGTACCAGGTCAGTAACAGCTCTCACAAAGCTGAGCACCGTAATTTGGGAGGACAAATTCCCAAAGAGACTGTTTGAAAGAGTGCTGGGCTTTATCCAATGAGTCATGGACAGACGCTCGAGCTTACTGCACGTAGAAGCAAAGCATCCTGCTCGGAGCTCAGGAGATGCGTGCTGTGAGGACGTATCCTGCTAGCACTTGGAAAGGTAAGCCAGACTCGGTTGTTAGAAGCAACATTTGAAGTGCTATAAACAACATTTGAAGTGCTATAATGCTGCTGGTAGATGTTCTAAAGACCAACCTGAAGTCTGTTAAATGTATGAGTTGCTGCAAGAGCTGTCACGCTGTGGTAGCATTACACACGTGCGAGAAGCGTGTTCGGTTCAGCTTCAAGAACAACCTCCAACCCGTGCGTCTCACCCCAAGCCCAGCCTTACCTGGTGCCACGTTTTCATCTGCCCACTGGAAGAAGCCGCACTGCTGCTCTCGGGGTTTAGAGCAGGTGTGGAACTGCCGACCTTTGTTGGGTCCGTCCTTTTGGACGGTGCGCGTGACAGCTGGCTGGTCGCACTTGCAGACCGTGTCGCCTCCTGAATCAGAGCTGTTGTTTCCAAAGAGCTCTGGGCCTCGCCCTCCTCCTGGACGCTGGAATCCCGCTGGGCCCCTTCCTGCAAAGGGCTGGGGCAGCGCAGAGCCCCGTGGAGCCACGTTGCTTCTGTCCTCTGACTGCTGATCAGCCCAGAGAAACAAATTGCAGGTACCGGTGCTGCATTTGTAAAACTGCCTGCCTTGATTGGGCCCTTCTTTGCGTACGGTTAACAGCAGGGCTTCATTCCCGCAGTTGCAAACCACCGCGTTGTTCCCGTCATCTGGAGCAGCTGAAGGAGCAGGCCTGGGTGTTCTCGGGGAGCTCAAGGAGAGTAGACGTCCCGGTGCCAGGTTTGTGGTCCCCCTCACGTGCCTGTTTTCACCACTAGCTCTGTTAAAGGAGTTGTTGACCTGCAAGTGATTAGCTTGCTGGCTGGCTGACGATGCGGATTGGGATGACCTGTGTAAATACTTCAGGTCCAAGAGCTCTTTTAGCATCTCATCACAGCCTCCAATGCAACCAACAAACTCCAAGGGCATCATGGGTGGAACACTGCCTCTCTTGAATTTAAACTTCAGTCTAAAAGGAAAGGAAGAATGAAAATCTCCCAGTTCATATAATTCCTCATCAACCTCGACTTGCTTTCGTTTGGGTTTTTTGGGGTTTTTTTTTGGGTTTTTTTGTTTTTTTTTTTAATTCTGCTATGCTTACACCAGTTTCCCCAACCCCTCTTCTTCCTGTCCCCAAGCCGTGAGAGTGCTGCTCCAGGTTTCCAAGACTGGAATGGAAAACGGTTGCCCAGCCTAGCCCATGGAAGTCTCTGGCCCTGATGGCCAACACGTCATGTCTGAGGGGCTGCGTTTTCCCAAGGGATAACTGGTATGACCTACCTGTGAACTGGATGTGGTTGACACACAGCACAGACGCTCTCATCCCGGGCCACATCCAGCACGAAATCGGGAAACCAGACTGCACTTTTACAAGCTGGATAGCCCATGCAGCTGAGATAGAACCTGTCGTGGGACAAAGGCACCAGATGAGGAAGAGGCAAAGTAAAGACAGTCAGTGATCTGTTCTCCTGTCTTCTCAGCCATCAGAAATTGTGACAAGAATAAATTTTAGGGGCAAACAGGTACTTGAAAGAGAGGTTCAGCTGAGTCCACACAGCTTTACGTAGCTGGTGGAGTTAGCTAGCTGCAGCCCAAGTTTTCATGCTTGCAGCAGAGGGGAGGTAAACGAACACCACCTAGAAAAACACAAACCAA